AAAAGCATTGTGTGAAGAATAACTGTTTTTCAAAGTGAATTTTCTACTCTCAAAATTGACCTTACTCCAATATCACTTCACAACCTTCACAACCAATTGGTGTAGAACTTGACAAACTCAGAACTAGACTTGAACGCAGGTTAAACTATCTTTTCTTTCACAACGCTCTGAAATCCCGTCTGAAAACACTGAGTGCCTGAAGCTAACCCTATGAGTTAAGTGAATAATTATCGTCCAAACTAGCAGCCTAGCAACTTATCAATTCTCTGCTCATCAAGATGACAATGCTTGGCCACATCGTTCACATGCCATGAGCGATTTCTTACTTCTTCAAGAGGCGGTAGCAACTCTACCTTGACCTGACAGGAGTCCGAATATCAATCCCATTGAGTATGTTTGGGATATAATGGATCGCATTATACCAATGCAGGTTAAACTATCTTTTCCTTTACAACGCTCTGAAATCCTGTCTGAAAACCTTGAGTGCCTGAAGCTAACTCTATGAGTTAAGTGAATAATTATCGTCCAAACTAGCAACTTATCAACTCTCTGCTCATCAAGATGACACTAAATGTCTCCTGAAACAAAATCATCACGTAAAACCAGCTGCCTCAAAATCACCACTGATATATTTTAATGTACACCACCTATCAAACAAAGTTTGTTTCTCCCGAGCATACTCAGCAAAAGTACAACCATCCCTTTCATGAGCAGATCTCAGGACTCTTGAACTTCAGCCTTAGCAGTCTAATAATCAGACTAAGGCAGACTAAACTTCCTGTGTTTTTCCTCTAAATACACATTGCAACAACATGGCCCACTGATTCTCAGGCTATGCGAAAACGTTAGCCATTTTTTTTCCAAAATGGAAGAAAAAAAAATCATGTTCAGAAAAAAGGAGGATCATGTTTAATCTGCCTTGAAATATCAAACGATATATCACCTGTTGAGGTACCGAGAGACATTCTTTTGTAAATCAGTCCGTCTCAGATGGAATTCTTTCATTCAAAACTCTCTCTCTTTTCTTTCTCGGCTTCTATTTCTTTAAGTTCAGGCTTTTTTGAGCAAAGAAACTTGTTTGGTCGAATGTTCGCTCGCGAACTTCTCTACACTCAACATCAAAGTGATTGTTGGTTTCAAACAGTTTCAGCTATGTAATTTTAATCCGATTTTTTACAAATAATTCAGTGATATATTAGATTTCTATCCTTGGGTAGCCTCCAATTTCTATTAGGTTTTGATACCCAAGTTGATTCTAACCAAAAAGAGGTCCGTAAGAGAACTCAATCAACAAACAGCAGGTGCGTAAGTCCAAACACTTTCAAAGCTAAATTTAAACTTTTAACTTTTTTTAAAACGTAGTATTTTTGTTCATTTAAAGTTGGCTACATATTTCCTACAATCGCCAGCGTCTAAAGGGATGGTATAAATCCAACTAGGGTCCATGCAGGTAGCAAAGGTACTGTATGTCCCCATGATCCCTAGTATGGTGATCTACATTCAGTTGTTGGCGATCTAAAGCCTGTTTTTATATTGTATTGACCAAATAGTGCTATCAGTTTTAACTTTCCACACTAGTTTTAGTTGTGATTGTGATATTCTAGTTGTTTTACTGTCCGTCGTCGACAGGTTTTTATAATATACATATATTCTATTTCAATGTCAAATATGTTCTCGTCACGATATGGCTGAAATATTGCCGATGTGACGTTAAATATTCACTCACTCACTCACTCACTCACCAAAAAGCAGCAGAGAAATGTGATATTATTGAAATTATATTCTAAAACTAACCACGTTTATAAATCACTACAATTGTACAGTGACAGTAAACAATCGGGTGGCAATACCAATTCAAATGCAGTATAATACAAAACCAGTGATTATAGCAACAAAGATTCTTACCCTGGATACTCAAGTATGATAGGCTGAGTATCCAGGGTGAGGATGATCTCCACACTATTGCTGTTCTTCTTGCAACTTTAGATGTAATGTGCGATGTGAGAAACGTTAGATCTGCCTACATACCTAAAACAAAGGCCAGTCTTCATGGATGACAATGCTTGGCCACTTCGTTCACATGCCATTGGCGATTTCTTACTTCTTCAAGAGGCGGAAGCAACTCTACCTTGACCTGACAGGAGTCCAGATCTCAATCCCATTGAGTATGTTTGGGATATAATGGATCGCATTATACCTATGAGCTCTTCCAGTACCAAACCTTAATGTATTGGAACAAGCCCTACATACGAAAAGGAACACAATACCTAAACGACAGATACAATCAATGAGGAGGAGGTTCAGTTGGCAGAGGTTACACCTGATATTGACATTGTGCTTGGTTATTGATACCTATCTCTAGCAGGATTCAGATTATCATGCACGATTTTTCGGTTCATTTTTACCAATAAAACTATCAATATGATGACAGGGGTCACTAGAAATGGGTTTAATATATTCCATAATGTAGGTGAATTGAAGTGAATATTTGTCGTGATGAGCGAACGCTTTGGCATCTTGGCTACTCGGCCGAACCAGTTGATGAAAAGGTATTTTGTGCTATTTTACCGTACAGTAAACTATGTGTAGAATAAACCCTATTAAAGCTAACTGTTTTGGCTTCAAATTTATGTACCCATGAAGATCCGGGTAAGCACTGATCTTCAGCAACCCATGCTTGTCGTAAGAGGCGAAAAACGGGATCGTGTGGTCAGGCTCGCTGACTTGCTTGATACATGTCATTGTGTCTCAATTGCGTAGATCGATGTTCATGATGTTGAACACTGGATTGCTTGTCCAGACTCGCCTTTTACATACCGCCGCCATATAGCTGGAATATTGCTGAGTGCGGTGTCAACCTAAATTCACTCAGTCACTCCAGTTCATAGTGAATGAGTTTAGTTTTACGCCGCACTCCGCATTATTCCAGGTATATGGCCGCGATGTGTAAATAATCGAATCTGGACCGACACTCCGGTGATCAACAGCATGAGCTCCGGTTCACAGTGTAATTGAAACGCGTTTAACGAAATGCGATTATAACAACTGAAACTTTGATTACCTTTGATCTAGGAATTTAGTCAACATAATCCACGGTCATAGACATGCTTTTTATTATTGTCAGCAGAAATTGTGTTACATTGTATAGATCATTCCTTCCTTTCTTTAGTGCCATTTATTTAGATTGACTCGACTGATCTGCAGAAGTTTCGCCCCACTTACAGAGCTTCCAGGATACACAACAACAAGACGCAGTCTGTCAAATGCAACTGCAGTAGCTGGACTGTCAGAAATTACTTTTCTCTTCGTGTCATCCAAGCACATTGACTGAATGCCTGGTCTTTTAAGGTCCAACCGCTGTAGAGCATCACACAGTCTTTAGTCGAGACAAATACAATATCAAAGAGATCTGCCTCGTTTTCTGGTCGTTGGAACATTTTTACAAACACGATCGTGTATATAACATTGAGATTTGATCGAGGGTATTCGAATGGAAATTCGAGCCAATGGGTATTGATCTTTTAACACGTCTAAGCTGGGCTGACACTGTTTTACCTCTATTGGTGGATGTTGTCACCTTCTCAGAAGAATAGCTGGAGTGTTTCACTACAAAATCATTTTTAGTTATTCCTGGATTACAGTGTTTCTTGATTGCAAACACATTCCCGTCGCTTCTCCAATGATAAGATGTCTTCGCCAATAGTAGACAGGAGTATGAACCATTCACATTCACAATTTTGACTACCAAGCACTTCTCCATGAGACTGCATTCATTCAGGCAATGGATGGTGCTTCTTGTAATCTTCAACTCGATCACATCTTGTCTGACTCTCCTCGTAGGCATATTCGCATTCCTGAATCGATTGAGAGATGGGCCAGCATGTGGCTTCAATGAAGATAACATGAATGGAATACATCCGAATGTGAGGACAGAAATGGCATAATGAAAAGCCATCTTTGGTTCCAGTGCCCTTTGTAATTTGTAGAATTTAAGAACAACTACTGCATCAGTGTTCCTGCTGGTGTGCTGCTATATAACAACAGTTAGTGACCCTTTGTAAGGAACCACATGGGTCACTTTAGAGCCACACAGCTGGTCTGGTAATGACGAGAGAGTTGGGTGAAGTGACATCTGCTTATGAAACCTTGTGGAGAGAAAGGTCTTCCAAAGCTCAAAGAAACGATAACGATTCCCTTGAGGGGTCTTTGTGATATCAAACTTTAGCATCTGTATATGAATCCACAGGAAATGGATCTATTCACTTTATCTGCTGTAAGAAAACAGTAAGTTGTGATTTGTTTCATTTGTGAAAATAATCGTATCATTTCCAAATGATGATTTACACTGATAGTGAGCATGTTATCGAATCTTCTTAAAACATAGCCAGTGATTATTCAATTATAGCAGTCTAAAACTCGTTAATGGAAACACTTCTTTATTTTTAGATCTAAATTTGATAAAGCCAGTGTGCCAAAGAATAACGACAAAGAGAATCATCCAAATATATCTTGATCCTTATTATATTGGCAAATGGAAACGACGTGATCATATGATCATATCCGTGCTGAGGTGAGGGCGATCACATTTAATGGTTTGTGTAATGAGATAGTCTAGTGGTTAAAGCGTACGCTCGTCACGCTGAAGACCCGGGTTCGATTCTCCACATGGGTACAACCCAGATAGCATTTCAGACGCTGGCCCAACGCTGGCAATGGTTTTGCCAACAGCGCCAACGTTGGGACAACTTCCGAATGCCATCTGGGAATGTGTGAAGCCCATTTCTGGTGTTCCCCGAAGTGATATTGCTGGAATATTGCTAAAAGCGGCGGTAACCATACTCCCTCACTCGAAATAGCCAAGTTAAACTCAACGGGGCCCAACTTACACTTATATGACTATCGCTCAGCGTATCAGGTGGCCTTACTTGAGCTTCATACTTTACGAACCGACAGTTTACCCTGACAAAGCGTTATCAGAGTCACGTTATTGGGTCAGGCAGTTCTTCACAAGCGTCGCAACTGAACTCTCAACCTCCTGTCTGTATTCTTACAGGGATCCCAGCTGATATAACTTGTACGTCGTTGGAAGCAGTACACATCAAGTCAACGACATCAACGACGATGTCACGTTACCTACTACTGTGTCTAACTCTTGGCGTGGCCTTGGATATGGCTACTCCGGAGGAAGGTAAATATTTTATGCTATTTTATTTTAAGGTTATTCCAAATCAAGAAATAATTCGCCGATTTGCAAATATAATACTACTTTATCATGTTTATCATGCCAGTAATTGAAAACTTGCAGAGCCTTTAGGGTCCTGGTAAGCACTGATCTTCAGCCACCTATGCTTGTCGTAGGAGGCGACTAAAGAGGAGGGGGGTCGGGTGGTCAAACTTGGTTGACATGTCATCATATCCCAATTACATAGATTGATCCTCATGATGTTGATCACTGGATTGTCATCTCCAGACTCGATTATTTACAGCTTGCCGCCATACAGTTGGAATATTGCTGAGTATGTCATTATACAACAAACGAACACAACTTTCAAGTGTGAAACAGAGAAACTGTCAATGCAACATTTGAAAGTTTCCCATAGCTTTAAAATATCACATGTCAAGTTCTTGAAGGAATGCCTTATCTTGTCTCGTCCTTTATCCTATACACCACTGATAACGTTGTGAGAGCTTCAGATCCGAGCATTATATTAGCACTAGACGCAGACCAAAGTCTCAGGTCAAACAAGCAAACGGAGTAATCTAATCAGTATGACGTAGAAGAAGAAGGAGCTCGAAGATTCACTTTCTGAGGGAACGTTAGAGTATTCACGAGTTTCAATGTTTCTCATGTGACCAAGGCCGTAAACAATGGTTGATCATGGGTATTTACGGACATTTCTCAAGAAAATATTTTGCTTATCATTGATGATTCTTTAGTGTCTAATCATCTATTATCCGACAACAATTTGGGATTTACACGTTCTGTTGACATTCTCGCATTCCGAGTCCCTGTTGGGTTGAGTCCCATCCGGGATGCGAACCCACACTCTAGAACGTGTAATCCCAAATATAACAGATGTTACATTTGACCACTTTCTAAAATGAAATTGTGTATTTTCATTTTCTTTTCTTTAGTGTGGTTTGGCACGTTCTCATGCCTTCAGCATGCCGATATATTTCACGATTTCGGTGTGTGCACCAACGTTATATGGCCATATGTGGGGTTTGTTCATATTCCCACAAAATTCGTGTAATAACCACTGAACCACGAGGCACCAACAAGGGGGAACAGGTGTATCAGTTGTACGCAGAGCTATCAAAAGGGCAGTCAATCTGTACATTTCAATACCATTCGTACAGTCCGTCATTCGCACCTCAGGTGGCAGACTTATCTTGAAGGCCACAAATACATATGACTCGTTACAATTTATAACGATGAGTCCTTCATATATTGGTTCCAATTCCACGGAGGTCATTTTTATTTATAAACTTAAACCGGAATGTAGCCAAAGTACCATATTAATCGCGAGTGCATTGATTTCATATAAATAACAATATGACAGATCGCCGAGATGGATGGAAAATTGTGGAAGGTTGTTGTGGGAAGTAGAGCATGTGTTCATGTGACAGTAACGTGGAAAGGATGATTTCCGAATGACTTGAAGGTTAGCGACGATTCGTTACAATTTGATGTCACTTCGGGAAACAATTGATCCTTGAAACTCCAGTTTTGTGCTTTGGACACCCACCATTAATATAAGTGTTGATGTCCACAGAGGCGATGAGTTGTAGTTATAGTTCATATTATTTACAGTCATAGCAGCAGTCACCATAATTCAGGGGGGTTATAGCTAAAACGGCACCACAGCAGAACGGCACCAAAATCGTTTGGCGAAAACGGCACCGTATTGGCGAAAACGGCTACTGATTTCTGAGCTAAAACGGCACCATATATAAAACACAGTATGATGTTGACTTTTATGTTTTAGTTCGTTTCATTATAACATTAGCAAGCTTATATCAACATATATAAAACACAGTATGACGTTGACTTATGATTTTTATTTCATTTCATAGCATTAGCAAGATTATAACACGTGATATAGCTGGAATATTGCTAAAAGCGACGTAAAACCATAACTCACTCACTCACCCATTGCATTAAAGTAACAAGATTATCAAGACGATAACAAAAGCACCGTCAACATAACACATGTTCTTATACAACGGTGAATCTACGTCAAAGTCCATATTTGGCCGGATGCTTGTATATCCCATGAATGTCTTTTCATGAATTGCAGCAATTCACTAAACGATTAGTCCGTGGATAATCGCATATCTTGACAGTACTTGTGACAGAGACAGGTCACCATCCAATGTTGTATAAGCCTTGTTTGGAGGGGTAGGAGGCTGGCCTCACGATGGAGCTCTGGGATGAGCCTGTAGAGCATAGTGACTGTTCTCCCACCTTGTTATTAATTCGCCTGTGCCAGCCTGAAAAGAAGAATACATATTTTTACGTAACATTATAAAAATTGAAACCTGACAATGCAAAAAAAGTATGATATTCAGTAATAATTTATTTAAGTTATTAATCTTTATTTTATTAAGAAATGTATACCTTCAACAAAGTTGTTCGTCCTGACTGCGATGTTGAAGACTGACCAGGTGCGGGGGGTGAATATAGAATTGGACATCCACTGACTCTCAAAATAGTCTGTCAGCTGTCGCAGCTTGCCATGAGTTGGAACCCGATCCGAAATCTTGTGGAATAACCTGGTGACATCAGCGGCCGGAAGAAATGGCAGAGACATCAACTTTCTCACGAACTTGTGAATGTCATCGTTCTCCATGTAAGCTACCTGAAATAGTACATACACATGTGAATTTATATGAAATAATATAATAAATTAATTATATGAAAAAATTATATAATATCAAAATAACTCTCAATGATTGAATAATTCAAAGTATTGAACGTACCTGTAGGCCCAGCTCTTGACATTTTCGCCAAACTGCTTGAGTCAGGTGGAATAGGCATCCACGGACACGGACGTCAGGCAAAGACTTCTTCAGGGCCTTCCAGGCAGCCTGCTCGAAGTCAAGGATGACAGTCTCGACTTGCGGTTGTTTGGGGAGAGCCTCTAGTGGCCGCTTGACCACCTTCACATAGTCCGATGTCCTTCGCCTGGACATAATCACAAAGACGAGAGACACAAGCTTAAAGTCCCTCCCGGCACGCACAAAAGCATAAATAGTAAGTAGTTAATGGGACGGCTTTTTAATTATCTTTAGGCACCCATGAAAGGCCACCTCCTCGTGGTGGGTGCTGGGTCACGCTAAGCGCCTTTCAACCCCCCGTTGTGGACCCGGGGGGGATATTTTGGTCCACCAACCCGTTTGCCGTGGGTTGCGCCCCTGTGTCGGTGGAGGACGGGATTCTGGTGGTTGAGGGCAAGGGTTCCAGGAACAGCGTTCCTTTGCCCAACACACCACTTCGACCCTGACTTCACCTAGACGGGTGGTAGAATGGGCCCGGTTCTACCAATCGGCTGGTCATGTCATGCCCTGTGCATGGTCAACTTCACATTATGTATATCTTTGTATCTTTTCCTTGAAATGCTGTTGTGATACTCTTACGTTGGTAAATTGTTACTCTGCCTAGAGTCCTATGCCAGAAGGCGGTGGCTCATGGGCCAATCTGGCATTACTGACCTCCGGGTTCTAAGTGTCTTCAGATAATCGCCATGGGCGGAACCAGCCTGACCTTTATTCTGTTTGACAATTTTAGCTACCTGTGTCTGTATTGCTCGAGTATAGCAACCCTGTAGCCCTGGTGTTTCGGAGTCGGTTTCCCACTTCGACACCGTTCTTGTTGACACTCCATGGTGGGTGGGGAGCAGGGTTGTCGAATATCCGTTTCTTATTATGGCTACCCAAATTCTACCTGGTTCTCGATCAAAAAATAAAAGGCGACATGTTGAAACAGATGCTTTATCGTCTTCTGATGATGATTCTGCTGCAGTCAGTATTGATTCCTGGCCACGCTTTCTGGTTGTGGAGGGAATTGATGGACAACCTTTAAAGCTTAACCCCTTTGCCATATCAAAGGCCATTGCTGGAATATGTGGTGAAGTGAAAAATGTCACACGTCTCAGGACAGGTTCTCTATTAGTTGAATGTGCAAAGAGACACCAATCTGTCAATTTGCTCGAAGCTCGTCAATTTGCGAATACTGGGGTTACTGTGTCAATCCATAAAACACTTAATTCCTGCAGAGGCATAATCCGTGATCGAGCTAAATGTCTCGCTGACATGTCAGAGGACGAAATTGCTTCTGAACTGAAGGCCCAAGGTGTCACCTCTGTCAAGAGATTCACTAGGAAAAACGGTGATGATATCATTAACACCAATACCTACCTGTTTACCTTCTGTCTCACGTCACTACCAAAATCAATAAAAAGCGGGATATTTTAACATCGATGTGGAAGTGTATATCCCAAATCCGCTTCGATGTTTCAAATGTCAAGCGTTTGGACACGGAGCTAAATCATGCCGCAGCTCCCCAGTTTGTTCCCGTTGTGGTGGAACGCATGAAAACGTCAACTGCACAAATGAAATCAAATGTGCAAACTGCCACGGTGACCATGTGTCATTTTCCAAATTATGTCCAGCATATGACAGGCAAACACAAATTTTGAAATTGAAGCATACCAACAATATATCCTTCAATGAAGCAAAGAAATTATTACCAGCTAATAGTCGCTTGTCTTCTACCAAAACGTACGCGGCAGCTGTTTCTACTCCTTGCCCAAAGTTTGATCAGGGCTGTCAAACTGCCATCACCTGGGTCTCAGACGAACAAACTGTTTTGTACATTGTTTCTGGTACCGGCAATGGTGCTGCCACTCAGACAGATACTGATATTGAAGCAGACCTTCCGCTTCCAGCATTGTCTGCCACTCCATCAGACTCCAAGAATTTGCCAGCACCTCAAATTCTTTCAGACCCTGAAACCCAGACAGCACCAGTAACCAAACCTAAACGTCTCACGAACAAAGAACGGAAACAACTTAAAAAAAAAAAAAGAAATTAGGGCACTTAAACACTTGGAAGTGGCTGCCCCCTTTATCCGTCCCTGTAGAGGTTCACAACACCTTTGAACCTCTGGACATGGAGGTCACTCCA